GAGAGAGAGAGAGAGAGAGAGAGAGAGAGAGAGACTGAATGGCAAAATTGAAATATGGGTCAAATTGTGGCCGCGATCTATTTTGCAGTTGGAATGAGTTTTTTTAAGTTTATTTAGCATTTTTCCTGGAAAGATCACAACAAAATCTACGAGTACTCCAATTTTCAGGTTTTTTCACGCATTCTTCTGAGCGTGAAAGCTCACTGAATTTGGAGTACTTTTTTAGTTGGCCCAGGCATGGCTGAGTGGCAAAAATGGAAAATGTGTTGAATCGGCGCGACGATTATTTCGCAGTGTAAATGATTTTTTGTAAATGTTCTATTATTATTTCTGGAAAGAACACGACCTCATCTATGGATTCTCAAAATTTCAGATTTTTGTGCATGTTCGTCCGAGCACAGAAAATCGCCAAAGTTGCCTCTAGCAAATAGCCTATTTCGTTGTGCCTGACCTCCCTGTTTTGAGAAGACGGGGCTCAATGCCTGGGCCTGAGGGCCCTTTTGCAGTTCACATGCCCGCACTTCTTTTTGGGGTCCGCTTCTACCCGGGGACCGGTCCAACGCCCCCCACTTCTTTTTGGGGTCCACTTCCACCCGAGGACCGGTCCTTCCTTTTTCCAAAAGTCCCGGTTCTAGAAGAGCTAGCTGTAGGTTGTCCGCAATTTTGCCAAGGACCGGTCCCCAAAAAACATTTGTCCCCTAAGAACCCACTTTGCGTCCTGGTCGCCCGCCACCGAAATTGCGACACCTTGACACAGACGCGGAAGCACACTATACCGCAGCCTTAGGGCTGCAGATATGGTGAAGCCAATGGCCATACCATTACTTTGGAAAAGCGCCCAGTCCTCAGAGAGATCGAGTTAGCTCTGCTGACAGGCAGTGATATACATGCCACCACGGATATCCGTTACCGGTCACCATTTACCCGATGAAGTAGCGCCTTTGTCTGCACCCTGCTCAGTATCGTTTGGATGATGCAAACTTGCAAAGCTTTCAGGTTAACCAAGTCTGGCTTCGGCTGAGAGGGGTTGAGACCCTGTTGCATGGACTGTAACTGGGTGCCTTTGTCTCCACCCTGTTAGTATGGAATTTATTTTTTTCCTTTGTTTTAAAAGGCAACGGCCTCGAGATATCATCATTGAGCTGACCAGCCCCAGGTAATTCAGAAATTCTGGTATTCTGTCATCTGATTGCATCCGGATTCGAACTTGGGTCTGATTCATATTTCAACAGTTTATGGGCATAGCAGCTGAGCTTGGCTAGTTGCTCTGTTAGTACGGAATTTATTGGGGTGGCAAGGTCTGAATTTTGGACTTGTTGATCAGCATGTTTGAACTTAGTGATCATCATGCTTGAGCAGTGATAGGCAGAAGTGTGATGGGCTGTTTTATGGTGTTGCACGTGACCGGTAATATGCAGAAGGGTGATGGGCTGTGTTGCAGCTGCATATGAGTGTATCCGCTGGGAGTCTGCATGAGAGGTAAAGCCTAATATACATCTTGCTGAGATTTGGCTGTTTCAGCAATGTTGGTTCTAACTTCTCTAAGTTCTCCTAAGGGATACGATAGAGGGTTGTGGGGGTTAGGGGACGGGGATGAGCGGGCGCGAGGTAGGTGCGATGAAAAATCTTGACAGTATGGCATGGAGCAGGGTATGACCTCTCAAGTCAGTAGTGAACATGTAAAGGTGTGTATGCAGTTGTTTAACAGGAAAGCGCCTTCATTCCCACTTTCTCTTTTTGCATTCCCCCCTGATTTCCTCCTGTGTGTGTTCCCCACTCTCCTCCCGTCTTGTCGCTTCTCCCTCTTTCGTCTGCCTGAACCGACTGTTAATTGTTGTGGATGCCAGCATTGCAAAGTGATACAATCGGCTGCCGATATTGGAGTTTTCAGTAGCAGCTCGACCTCTCCAGAAAGGTCCAGCTCCCCTGGAATAAAAGCCTCTCAGCCATCCGATGGGGAATCAGCTACATCGGGACCTGGACTTTGGATTGTCAGCAGTGGCTATGGCTCTCCTTGTATTGATTTCCGGCAAGTGAGTGCTGAGCTGGCTGTCGCATGCGAAGGAGCCGATCTGGTACGATTCCTCACAGCCCGTGAACTCCATGGCCAGTCCTGTTTACCCTCCTCCTTCCCATCTCATGTCCCCTTCCTTTCTTTCAGTGTTTGTTCTTCAACTTGCTCTTTATTTATCTCTGTTGATTCACTCTTGACTCTTGAGAACACTTCGTTATGCTTTTCTCCAAGGACTGAGATGTGGTTAAAGTTCCGTTAAACCACCAGTACACGGCCCCAGCCTTTTAGAAAATCGGTACCGTCTTCACCCGAATAGAACGCCCGGCCATTATAGATGTATTTGGCACAACTTTCAGCCCAGATACGGCGATAATTACCGGGCGTTCTATTCGGGTGAAGATGGTAGTTGACAACTCCAAAAGTTTTATTGCCAAGTGTACTTTGTGTACCGAATTTTCTTCTGTAGAAACGATGTGGTGTATTGCATTGTTAAAAGGATTGGAAGGGTGTTCTGCAATTGAATTCCCCTTGGCTCAAGGTTGTTTGTAACTGGGTCCGCCTGACAGTTAGAAAGAATAATGTTCCCCAAACAGCAGGGGTATGATTCAGGATCTGACATATTACAGGAAAGAGCATTTACAGAATATTTATATCTATGTAATAATACTTAAAGGAAGAAGCCGTCCTCGGAAGACGTTCCCTCTGGGCCCCGCAAAAATGAGGCCCGCGCGTCGTTTGGACGGGGCAGAAGGTGTGCCACACTTTTTCTGTTTTTTTTTTTTTTGTTGTTGTTTAGTGCACAGTTTCTCACGTCCCGTTTTGCAGGACACACAGGTTTGGTTTTGCTTTTCGCGTTTTCGTTTTTTCCGGCCCGGCGGCAGTATATTTCATCAATATCTGGCGCGGATGTTCGATTTCTGGGGTGCGGGGTCAACAGCTCAGGGCTGCTGAGTTCACGCGCAGGTGTATGTTTTTGTTTTTTCCGGCACGGCGCTCGGTGGGCACGTATCTGGCTCTGCCTTTCACGAAACGAACGTTGTGCTAGAAGATGGAGAGGTACACCGGAGCAGAACCTCTTTAATGAACACTCCAAGATTTTGCTAGAAGATGGACGGGGTGTGTGTGGAGAGAGAGAGAGAGAGAGAGAGAGAGAGAGAGAGAGAGAGAGAGAGAGAGAGAGAGAGAGAGAGAGAGAGGCGGGGGGAATATTTTGAAAGATGGGTCTTGCCATGGCGTGGTTCGTGCGGCGAGGTGGAAGAAGGATGACATGGATGAGGAAAGAGGAGGAGGAAGATGGTGAGGGAGACGACCAGGACAACGGGGAGGATAACAAGGTCTCTCTCTCTCTCTCTCTCTCTCTCTCTCTCTCTCTCTCTCTCACACACACACACACACACACACACACACACACACAC